CATGGCAACACTCTGGGTACCAGGTCCACTATCAGAAGGAGAAAGGGCCCACTAGACATTCAAACTTCATCTGTATGCAATTTACTTATATAGTAAATCTTCACATGTACCCCACAACTCTAAAATTAAAAATTAAAAAAAAAAAAAATACCGTGATGCCCACAGGACTAACAAAGGGCAGCAGTTGTATATTTATCAGCTCACCTAGTACCACCAGCCTGTGGAATTAGAGTTATGACATCTTGCCAACTTGAAATGTATGGGATATTTGACAGTTTTTGAACGGGGTTACAAATATTTCAATATACACTCTAAGCGAGACCTTGTTAATATATTTCTATCACATAACTTCAAACTTTCAAAAAATAGGGCTGCCACATGAAGCAACTCAGGCAGGTTGCACTGACGTTGAGCCCGGGGCCAGTGGCAGGCCCTCTCTGAGGAAGGCAGAGGGGTGAAATAGTGGAGCATTCAAGCTCTGGAGCCACAGGGCTGGGGTTCAAATCCCAGCGCTGCTACTTCCTAGTTTTGTGAGGTTAAGGCAAGTCATGCAAACTCTCTGTGCCCTGGTTTATTCATCTGTAAATTCAAGCTAACAATCCCTTGTGGACATTTTGTGAGGATTAAATGAATCTAATACATGTAAGAAACTTAGAGCCGATATATATTTTATTTGTAAAGAGATTTGAACAGTGCCTGGCAAATAACAAGCCAATTTACATATGAACTTTTAAAAAGACAAGGATCTGAGAGGCACCTCAGGGGTGGAATCCACATGGTTTTTTTTACCCACAAGCTGTGGACAGGAGAAGATGAAATTCAGTGGGGAGCCAGTGAAGCATTTAACAGGAATCAGGAGGGATAGCTGGGCTATGGCAGGAAGCTACTGCCTCCCACCCCCATCCCCCTTCCAGTGGCAGAGAGGGGGACTGGGGCAGGGCCCCTCTGATTTCCTTGGGGTGCAAACCCAACTGCACGTTCTTTGCCATCCCCTGCCTGCCCCTCATGCGACACTGATTGGGACCCTGAAGCTTCTGATGCGCACATACCTGGACAGTGGGAGGATAGACTTTGGAGCCTAAGCCCCTAAAATGTCAACTTTTCCACGAGAAAACCCTGACAAGTTGAACCCCAAGGACCTCTCTAGAAGCCCTAATTTATAACCTTTGTCTCAATTAACTAGGACACCACTGCTGCTTCTTTCAGGAGCAAATTAAGCAGCTCACATGGCACTGCGATCACACTCTGCATATCTCTCCTAGCTGTCCCTTACCCATGCCAACATCGGAGGGAGCAATCCTCCCCACGACCCTCCCCTACCTGAAGATTTGGATCCTGCTTAACTGTGAGTCCCCAGGGGCTTTTTCGCCTCCTCCTCAGCCCAGCCCCACATCCCACTCTGAGTTGGGATCGTTTAGGGTTGAATCAGGTGGGCATGGGGCCCTACTCATGATCCACATCACAGGAATAGGCTTTCCTCTCAGAGGGACCTTAGACAAGGATAGAATGGCTGTTCCTTTGTTTAAAAAAACAGAAAGAAAAAAAAAGCAAAGACTTGATTTGCTCTGAGAGAGGCACTCAACAATGATAGCATGTTCCATCTCCCTTCAATGATCAAATTATCACAATAAACCCTACCAGTCCTTTAGAGACAAGTTGGGGGTCCTTCCCCCCACCACAACAGACCACAAGATCTCCCCTTCTTTGAGCCCTGAGCCTCTCAAAGGTCAAAGGTGATCCTGACCATTTTCTTTTTTGGAGATAGACACCTCCAATAAAGAAACACTAGATCAGAATTGCAAAGACTGTGGATTATTTTAAACCATTATATACAACAAATTAGATAGTTTCACACAAAAATATAATGGAACATAATTAGGTGATGCTGCTTGTTCAAGGAAAATTATAAAATTTATAAAATTTTAAATTTATAAATTCATAGTGTACCCTAGGAAGTCTGGTCTAAAGGTGAAGAATAACTTTATTCTGGTCTATCACTGTCTCTCTGATACCTTCGTGTGTAACTGCCTTTGGAAATAGTGTCACAAGTTGAACCGCCTTCATGAATGTGATGTCAGAGCCAAATGGGTCCCCTCCCCCAACACCGCATGCTCCCACTGGAGGCCCTGTTTGGACTCCCAACACTTAACCCTCAGTTTTACCACCATCTTAGACACCCTTAGAGAACATCGTTCACATGTGTGGCTGCCCATCATT